TACGACGTGTCTCTCTCTCTCTCTCTCTCTCTCTCTCTCTCTCTCTCTCTGGGCCCTACGATGCGGATAGATTTGTAATTCAACTCGATCTATCTGGTAATCCACTCGATGGATGTATCGAGTGCAATTGCCAGTTTATTTAACATTCGAGGAATAATAATTATTTCTATTCCTTGGACAGAGTAAACTCTTTGGAGAGTAGATTCGTCGCGTCTATTAAAACTTGATCTCGGATACAGGTGTACGAGTGAAAAAGTGATTGCAAACTTTTGATCGGCATTACCATGGTGGTTTTACCATACATACGTGCCGATAGATTACCGTATCATATCGTATTACGTGGTTAGCGAATTCCTGAGCGATCCGCTTTTTCCTAGAAGACGATAATGCTACGTTTCGAGTACCGTTTCATCTTACGATCCTTCTAATCCGGTTGGGATACCATAGGAATAGAATTCACTGTGCGATACACGAATTTCGCAATGAAAATATTATTCGATGCTTCGATTTTTCGTTCTCCCTTTTCTTCTCTTTCTTTTTTTTTCCCCCCTTCCTTCCTTCTTTTTTGGTGGTGGTCTTCTTTTGTTTAACGCTCGATCGTTGAGGGGCGGGGAAAGACCGATTTAGATGCGGCAAGGAAGTGTATTTGCGCGAGATGAATGAGTCAGCTGGAGACGAGAGGTGGTCGATCGCCAGGCGATTTATTGCCGGGTACGCGCGTTTACATGATGTATCCTGAGTTATATATCCCGGCTAAGATAAAGAACGGTCATCTCCCGTCTCTCGATTCGAAGATCATTTTTAAACGGGTTTATTTGTTCCAACAAAGATCGCGTATCGCGGATCTCTTTAGCTCTTGACTCGAGTAAACAGGTAATACTGCCTGTGCATCTAGATAGATATCTATAATCTACTTATTTCGCGATGGAAATATTTGAATTAATTACACCAACAGCTAATTAATAATTTACGAGAACAAGATTATCGTCATTGCATATCAACGGCTCATTTAGATAAATTATCATTGAAACTGCCTCTCCAAGATTCCTTTATTCATCGATTAATAATAATATATATATATATATATATATTCCAAGTTAAAAATATTCATATGTATTTATATATAGAGTAATATTTATCACGATTAAATGAGGATAATATGCAAAGTAAATGGGAAAATTTTGTAACGGTGTCAAACTTACCTGGCTGACACGAAGCGCCACCAGGACCAAGCACAGTACCGACACAAGCGCACTGGTGAACGCGTGAAAATTGGTCCTTCTCACTGTCATTTTGACGGAGTGAACGTGCCACACTGAACGTGCCGATTGTGAAACGTGTCACGTTATTGCCAAGCCTCTCCTATCTGTCAAGTTTCACGTCACATTTTCGTTATTTCCCGAGAACAATCTCATCGTATCGCGGGAATCGATCGAGTATATCGACGTTACAGGGCGGCCACGCGGTCTCCTTTCCCGTGGTAAAGACACGACAGGGAACGTGAATTGTAACCGGGCGTGAATAGTGAAATCGTGGATCTCGTGGATATTGGTGACTCGAAAACTCGATGCCTCTCGTTCGAGAGAACTGGAAGCGAATGTTATACTGGCGCAATAATGACTGTTCCTCCTGAGCTGCCCCCAGGGACGCTCAGGTGTTCGGTGTTTTTGGTGGGGATAGATCGTGGCGAGGCGGCCATTCCCTTTTCATCCGATGTTGTATGCGATCCACGCATTCATGTCTCCGAATCCGGCGATGAGCCACGTATGCTTCTCGTGATTCCTACACGAGGTCAGCACTGTGCACGCTACTCGTTTGTTCACGTGGGGATCCGCCTTATCGACGTGGCTGGGGAATTCGAGAACGTTCCTCGAAACGTTCCGTTTTGGAACTAGCGTTTTTCACTAGACTCTTACGACTCTTTTTAGAAAATTGGAGACATTTCTCGATTTTAACCATATTGTCGATGCGACAGGGATTTGTAATCGTTCGAAATTCAAACGAATTGAACAAATCGATGGTTGCCTGTTAAAAGAGAAACAATCGAATGCAGATATCGACTTGAAAAAACGGTTCATCCGCTTTAAAATTTAAATTTTGAGAAATCTTGTGTCATGGTGGATACTTTTTATCTCGAATTATTCGCGTGCACGCGTGCAAAAATGAATCTGTCCGACAAACAATTCAATAGATATTGATTGAACGAAGATTGCAGGAATTACAGGACTGTCGTTAGTCATGATGCTCGCGACGCTATTGTCGTGGAACCTCTCAAGTTGTCACAATGCGAACAAAGGCGAATATCGAAGACAATAGGATAGCTTATAAGATCATTCATGGATGACGTGAAAACCATTCAAGATCTCGATGCATCGATATCTTTACGCTTCGATATACGTGCGTACATCGACGAATGTATGTACGTGATTGAATCTTCTTGTATCCATCTACAGACAATCTATAATACCGCTATATGTAATCATATCTCTTTCTTAATTTTCTTCCTAATTCGAAAATTTCTAATCGATTCTACATACATATTCCAAAGAGCTTCTCTCGTCGTTCTACCATACGAAATAAAATCGTAAAAAAGAAAATGAAAAAAAAAAAAAAAAAAAGGAAAAAGCACGCATAACTAAAATTATCCTCGAGCCATTTTTCCAACGTGTTAACACCGGTTTCACGAGTGGTCGTTTAATTGGTCTGCAAGGAAAACTCGTGGCACGCAAAAAGAAATAAAACGTGAACGCGTCAAAGAACAAGAGTCCCCCCGTGATTCACATTTCCTTACGTAACAAGGCTAGACACACACGGACACGAGAGAACCGGGGAAGCGTAGTGATAATCTTAATGAAAATCCTCCCCCCCCCCCACGTTCGTGCTTCCTTTGATAGTTTTCACCCCGGGAAAATGTTTGTGACCCACTTTCCCCACACGGGAAACGCTCTAATGCCGTTTTACCTGGGGTAGAGTACAAAAAAAGGTAGAGTGGGAAAAAAAGAGGCGGAAGCAAGCAGAGGAGAGGAAAAAAAAGAGAACCGTCTTCTAGTTGAATAGCCGTCTCGCGCCATACATACTACCACGCAAACGCAGGCACAGGATGTTGTGTACAGAACATAAATTTATATACGTATATCAATTTTATTGCAAGAATTGCAAGGCTACGAAACACGGAATAACCATAAGGGATCGTATACAACATTTTATACGTCCTTACGAGAAGAAAATTCGTTTCCACGAGTTGTAACGTGGCCGCCTAACCACACACACACACACACACACACACACATACACGCACACACTAGAAACAATAGAGAAACCGTTTCAAAAAAACGGTACGATCTCCATAAGGTACAAAAGCTCGAGAGTAAATGCAACGAGACGAGGAATCACGAATAACTGGGTCGCTGCATTAATTCTTTTATGTAGGCCGACTTATCCGTGGAGAATGGCGGTCGAGTGGCGAGCACCGAGAGAATCAACTTCATCCATCCGGCACACTCTCTCCATAATTATCGCGATATCGAGGAAAGAGAGAGAGACAGAGAGAGAGAGAGAGAGAGAGAGAGAGAGAGAGAGAGAGAGAGAGAGAT